CATTTTCAATATTCAATGGATGAGAGAGCCATATTACATTGTTAAATCAAATATGGATGTGACATCCATAGGCATGGTTGGGCTTATAATTCATGCTATGGATTTTCACATATAGCTGCCTCATCCATATAAACTTTGGTTGGGAGATCCATATGTAGTTAGTTTAAAATTTCGATACATGTTGCGCGCAATTCATTATCATGGCATCCATTTAAAAAAATGTCACCTTATGAAAAAACTTTTAATTAAAAAATAATTTTTGGTGGAAAAAATGTAAAACTTAAATTTTTTTCAAAAATTTTTTATTCAATTATAATTTAGGAAAAAATTTATTCTAAGTCTAAAGTTTTGGCTTTATTGTAAGTATTAACACTTTTTTCTATTAGAAAACAAAAAATATTCCTAAAAAATATGAATTTTTTAAATTTCAAGTGAAAGCTCCGAATATCCCACAAATTGTGTGATGGCACACGGAGAAAAAGGAATAGTTGACACATCCAGATACGTGGATATCACAGCCATATTATATTGAAAAATACGGGATATCCATAGTTAAGGTTGCTGCATCCATATTCTATGGCTGGCTGTATATTGTTGAAGCAGCAAAAGATCTATGGTTGGGTGATCCATAGTAATGGAAATGGGAAAAAAAAATTGGAATCACTCAATTAATTAAATTCAATGTCACTTGAGATATTTTATACACATTTTTGTTAATTAATACACACCACTTATTGAATAACCGCATATTAACGAAATAAATTATTAACCGATGGGGGGAGACACGAACCCTAGACCTAACGCATACTAAACACTAACGCTATCCACTACACTATACACACAACTACAATATCTGAGCATATAATATTCCTTATATACTCTACACATATTTCATGAAAATGAATTTACATAAAAACTAATAGACAATAACGATAATAAATAATAAACAATTATAACACTATTTATATATAGACGTGACAGGAAACCGACGCGACGGACAAATTAAGACGACCATTTTTAAATGGATGCCATGATAATGAATTGCGCGCAACATGTATGGAAATTTTGAACTAACTATGGATCTCCCAACCAAAGTTTATATGGATGAGGCAGCCATATGTGAAAATCCATAGCATGAATTGTAAGCCCAACCATGCCTATGGATGTCACATCCATATTTGATTCAACAATATAATATGGCTCCCTCATCCATTGAATATGGAATGTGCTTCCATTTTGAAAGTTGTCTCTTCCATTGAATTGGATAACACAACAATATTCTGCTCAACAATATTTTTATGAATATCTCTTCCAGACCTTTTCTTTCCGTGCAGAAAATGTATTTTTTTTTAAATTTTACTTTCTCTTTTTAAGTTTCTAATTAAAGATAAATAACGAAATGAGTAGAAAATGACGAAAACAATGTATTATTATAAAGATAAGTTGGTTTTTAAAATAATTTTCCTTAAGGGGCTCCAATTCCCTTACGCTCCCCTAATCACACATCATTCATTGCAATTGACAGCTTATTTTGTCACCTCTCAAACGCTTTTTTAAAAATTATTGTACGATAATTTTAACTCGAAACTAAATAAGTTTTTCAATTTAGTTTCGAGTCGACACGAAACTAAATTAACTCTTTAACGCCCAAATGAACAAAATTTTGGCATGAAGTTTGAGGACTTATTTCAGTACTTAAAGATCAATAGAAAAATTCATCAATCAATATTATTTTTTTTTTTTTTTTTTTTTTTTATTGTTTATACTCCTGCCCTATTGGCCTTACGCACTTCGACAAGAGTCCCCGAGAAATACTTTTTTGGATTAAGCATAACCATTCTACTTTAGAAATTTTTTCTATATATTAACCTAATTTTGCGTCTACAGCCGACTTTATTAGGAGTACTCGCATTACGCCTGGACCACCCGTCAATGGGTTTTCTCGCCAGAGAAGAGGGAAACTGTAGAAAACCTCTCTGAGTACAACCGGTTTATCGACAGTCGAGTTCTAATGGTGTGTACCGGACAATAATCGACGGTGCACATCATTATACCTCGACGTCAAACCTCCCGCTCAGATTGTCTCACGTGCCGGAAAAATGCCAAGCCAAATGGGCGCGAACCAAGGGTACTTATACCCTTGGTCCTTAAACGACCACCAACGCCAGGCATCTATCCGACTGAGCCAATCTGTCGGTTATCAATCAATATTATTAACACAAAACTACCTAAAATTAATTGAGCCAAATAATTTGTATTTATATAAAATATCCATTTATTTGAGTGAAATAAATAACTTAATAGTTTCAAATAACTCATACATTATTATTTGAATAAGTCATTTATTTGATCCAAATATTTTTTTATTTGTTTTTATTAAATAATTTATTATCATTAAATAATGCATTTTATTTATTGCATTAAATAATTTAGTTTACTTGAAGCGATAAGAAATAAATTATTGTGTCAAATAATTTTTATTTATATTAAATATCCAAATAATTGAGTGAAAGAAATTAATTGACTCAAATAATTTATTATTTATGTTTAATAAATTATTTATTAAATTCAATTAATTATTTAATTGGCCCGATTAAGATTTATTTGATTCAAATAATTCAAGTTATTCACGGTGCGCCTGAAACGGGTTTTTATAAAATGTTCCTGCACTCGAAATTTTCTTGTCAATTTTGAATCTGTGAAGTTTAAAGAGTATTTTAAGATCAAAAAGAAAATAATCGCTGGAGCCCTTTTTGAGAAAATTAACTTTAAATATATTTTTTAATTTTATATTTTTAAATTGTTTAGAAACTCGACTTTGATTCCATAGAAACAGTGTTTTTATACATATTGCTAAGATCAGTCTGTAGAGAAAAAGTCTTGAAAATTTAATGTTAGTTTTTGATTAATTAATTTTGTGTTCTTACGGTCTTTCAAGTAATTTTAAGATGCCGAAAATTGGTTAGTAGGTAACTTGATAAGGTCAAAGAAGTTTTTGTCAAAATTTGTGATATGTATTTTTAACATATGTATGTCACGCTCCGAAGAAAGGTACCTGAAGCAAAAAATTTGAGGTTATGTTTTCCAATTTTTTGAGTAAAAATACGGATAGAAAATCAATTATTAATTAATAATTATTGATCTTTAAATCTTTATTAAATAAAAAATATTAAATGAAAATTTGTTTCAAATTCAAATAATTAAAAATAAACTTTTCATCAAGATCAATCTAACTCGAACCTAACCTATAATTCGTTTGCCTCTTAGGTACCTTTCAAGACTTTTTCTCTACAGACTGACCTTAGCAATATGTTTCTATGGAATCAAAATCGATTTTTTAAACAATTTAAAAATATAAAATTAAAAAATATATTTAAAGTTAATTTTCTCAAAAAGGGCTCTAGCGATTATTTTCTTTTTGGTCTTAAAATACTCTTTAAACTTCACAGATTTAAAATTGACAAGAAAATTTCGAGTGCAGGAACTTTTTATAAAAACCCATTTCAGGCGCACCGTGTATTTGAAGCAAATAAATATCTATTAGATGCAAGTAATAATTAATTAAATCAAATAAATATTTTTTAAATAATTTGAATTAATTGAATCAAATAATTTTTTTTCAGTGCAGTTAACTCATATTACAATAATTTTAATATAATTAATAAAAATTAATTTAATTATTTTTCTTTTTAAAGAATCAACTAAAGAGAGTTGGATTAATAATCTGGAACTTCTACTGGATATTCTGATTTTACTTTTTAAATAATAATGTTAATAATGTTAATCTTAATTTTATATTTATTTTAATTAACTCAACTTTAATAAATTAATTGTATCATTTATAAATTGTGTTTGATTTATAAAATGTGATATAACCTCGTGTATTAATGTTATCCAAAAATTAATTGCTAACAAAAATTATATAAATATAATTATAAATATAATTTTTTATGTTTTTGGACATATTTTTGTCCAATATTAGTTACTGGAATATTTATTATTTTTAGCTTTCTGTTATAGGATAGTCGAGAAGTTCGATCAATGACAATTTTTTAATTCTCTTCTTATAGTACCTATGTAATAATTACGACACAGTCACTCCGGCTAGAGAGAAATGTGTATACAATCTTTAAATTTTTATAATAATGCGAACAATCTAAATTATATTTCAATTTTTAAATATAATAATAATTATAAACCATTTTTTCTATAATTTCAATAATGTACATTTTTCAACTAATAAGTAATATAATACTAACCTTTATAATATCCCATAAATAAATGATAAATATTTTAAAGTCAATTAATTAATACATTTATTATCAATATACTATAATAACTGACAATAGCTACAATTTGGTTCCGAATGTCAATGTCAGTTTTACTAAGAGAGTATTAATCTGCGACAGAACAACGGATACTTCTACTTCGATTTACATTGTAAATATTTTAACATTCTAAAATTTACTGTCCATTGAATTATTATTACCATTCTGAAATTCTATTGATGTAACAGAGTTCTAAAAGAATTGTATTAATTTTATTTTATTGCTTTAATAATTAACAAAATTTATTTTAATTTACAGTAACTACTGAATATTTATGACTGCTATTATTTAATTTATAAATTAATGTAACTTACAAATTCTTAAGCAATGAATATACCGCTTTAGTTGAAAAATATAAGTAAAACCAGAAAGTTTTATGTAAACATTAAAATTTTTACATTTCTTTGCAAGTTCAACGACTTTATTTTAAATTTCTGCGTATACAACAAAATAATATTAATACAGTAGTCAGTTGAACTACTGTTTATGCAATAAAAGTTAAAGTAATTTCTTTAAAAACTAATAGGAAATTAAAATTTAGATGAAAGTTTGATATTAAAATGGCAATTAGAATGCAGGGAAATCTTGAAATAAATTAATTTTGTATCAGATGTAGAATTTCTAATAAAATTCTTCAAGTAACAAAGTTTAATTATTGCTGAATGGACTTACGCTAATTTATAGAAATCCGTATGAATGAAACGTTTAATTAAGTCTTTGGACCACTAAACACAATTATCAATTAACACTTTTAATAATAATTGTCTCAACACTTATACAATAATTACGATTTTCATATGAGAAAAAAATTTTATTTAAATGTATTAAATGTTGTTAAATACTTAGTTATTTCTAATTTAACTATTTTTTTGGTTTAATATATCAAGTAACATTAAACAGTAAATGAAACACATGGTCTTTATTTTAACTTTTACAACTAGTCAACAGCGAATGCTGTAGAGCCACTCACCGCTGTAGAGCACTGCTTTATAATTTACCTCCCACCCGCAAATTCTAGGTTTCCCTTCTCGAAGAAAGTTGTAATTTAAGTAAACAAATAATGGAATGGACTAGCAAAATTAAGATTCCAGTATTAGTATAGAATTCTACGTAAAAAACGAAATAATAGAAGTTGCAATACTTACTGTCTTAAATACTTAAAATGAATTATCTTTTGAAGTATAGTAGACGAATGACATATATTATAGTATACAACCGTTTTTTAAAACGATTTCATTTAACTATTTAATTAATTGAATAGCTGATAAATCAATTATTAATGAATAACTGCATGAACATATGTGTTTTTAATTAACTTAAACTGATATTTCTTTGGTAAGAACAATAAAAAAAAAAAATTCATTTAAATAATTTATATCAAAATTAATTTAAAATTGTAATTTAAGATTTTTTAAGAAGAGTTTAAAAAACGAATAATTTTATAACAAGTTTATAAACAGCAAAATTATTTCCTTAATATAAACTTAAACCTAAAAAGGATTATAAGTAGTTCGACACTACTTAAAGCAGCACTTAATTTTTTATACAGTCCCTGTAATGCACTTTTTTCAAACTGTTGATAATGAGTGTGGACTAAAACAATATAAAATTTTTTTCATTCGCGATAAATAATTTAAAAAATTTTACAATTTAAAAATTATTTGAATCGGCATAAGAACAGATTTTATAAACAAGTAGAACCTTTTATTTTAAATGATATTAAAGGTTGGCTTTTAACTTCTTTAATATATAATAATTCAAGAACTGATTTTCTCTTTTAAAGAAACATAAGTTGAGTGTCTATTACAGGTGAGCGACTTTTTCCACATTTAAGGTCAAAGTCACTCAATGAAAAGGTGTAGATAAATATCTGTGTGCGACCGATGTACTTTTCATTTTATTATATAAAAGAGGAAGGAATTGATATTTTGTGAATTAAAAGATTTATTTATTTTTATTTATTTTTATTTAATTAAGAAATAAAAAATAATAATATTATCATTACTATATAGTTAATATGTTTAAGTAATTAATTATATATATTAAAGATTTTTATTTATTATTAGTTTCTGAAATATACTTAAAACATCCAAAAATCAAGGTAGTTTTTCAACACTAGACAATAATGCATAGCTGATTTATACTAAAAGTACAACTGAGTACCAAAATTGTTTTGTTGCTAGAATGTTCATATTTAAAGCAAAATATATTTTTTAAAATAATTTTCTTCGTTTTTTTATAAGGAAGAAGATAGCTATTTTTGTTTTTTGATAAGATGAAAAATAGGGTCAAGAAGTGAAAAAACCGAAAAAAATTGCAAAAAATGCCGTATCAGCAGGCAACACAGTTGATAGCAATAAAAGTAGCAAACTTGTAACTGCAGGCTTCGAAGTGACACACTTTTCCACTTTTTTGACACTTTTTTTGGTCAAGCCTACTTTTTGCAACTTATTTTGTCAAAAAGCTACTAAATGCTACTTTTTTCCAAAAAAGGTAAAAAAAATTTACAGAATTCAAGAATTTTAGTTTTTTTGGTGAATTTCGTAGATTTCAAAAAACCCGCCAAGTGAATTTCATTTATTATTGGACGCGTGATTATAATATATTATAATAATTACTAATAGTGGATGTTTATTAAATTACAACTTTTTAAGAGACGCATGCTTATTCCCGAAATCTTTTTTGACCAAATAGTTATTTGATATAAAACTACTTAACTTAAAATTCACATAATATGCACATTATTCGACATAAATTTCATTGCACACAAAAACCATTTAACATAAATATCATTTCTCATAGAATTCATTAAACAGAAATATTATGTTACATAAAACTCCCCGAGTCGAACTTTTAGACCTGCTTACCTCCTGGTAAGTATAATTTAACTCTAACCTGCACCTAACAAACCCTTGGTGTTTTTTTCCTCCTGCGTAAGTTCTATTTAACTCTGACAACTCCTTTTTAAGTCCTAATTGAACCTTAAACCCTGTATTGCTTCTACCACATTCTTACGCAATAGGAAATGTTACGCGCGGTACAAGATATTCAACTTATTATTGTTTTGCAAATTACAAAATTTTTTATTTTGAAAATTTCACGAAAGAATTCAATTATTTTCTAAAATTTTAATAAATCCTTCGAAAAAATTCAATTATTTTTATAAATAGTAAAATTCTTCCGAAGAATTCAATTAATTTTATAAATAGTAAAATTCTTTGCAGGAATTCAATTATTTTCAAAACAACTTTAATTAAATTCCTTAGATGAATTCAAATATTTTAAAATATTTTCATAAATTGCAATTATGTTCTTAAACTTTAATAAATTCTTCAAAATAATTCAACTATTTTTATAAATACTAAAACTCTTTGCAAGAATTAAATAATTATTAACCCAATTAAAATAAAATTAAACGAAAGAATTTAATTATTTTCAAAAATTCCCATAAAATTTAGTTTCAACAAGAATTAAAAATTTTTGAAAAACAATTTAATTATTCTCAAAATATTTTAAAAAAATTCTATATAAGAATTAAATTACTAGCTCAATACAATTTTTGAATATATTCGTCAAAAGAATTGAAATAATTCTATTATTTTCGAAAAGTAATTAAAATTCTTATGATGAATTCAATTATTTTGAATATACTTAATTTTAATAAAATTCTTTAAAGAAATTCAATTATTTTCAAAACAACTTTAATAGAATTTTTTGAAAAAATTTCATGATTTTTAAATATTTCTATAAAATTCTTCATAAACAATTTAATTATTTCTTAAAATTTTAATAAATTCTTCGCAAGAAATCACTTATTTTCAATACAATTTTAATAAAATTCTTCTTCATAAAATTCAATTGCTTTCGAAATTTTCAATTAAAATTATTAAAGAAACTCCATTAGTTTAAAAAAAAATCTGTCCGCGCAAGCGCGGACACATTCTCATTCCCCGCTTCGCGCGGGGGCTCGCTTCGCTCGCAAGTTTCAGCGCGCCTCGGGGCGCGCGAATATTGATCGTCGCGCTTCGCGCTCCGGCGATTATTCCACACGTCGCGCTTCGCGCTCCGTGTGTTGTTGCGCGCTTCGCGCGCAAATGGCTCGCTTCGCTTGCGGCGGTCTGCAATTGTTGTGCATTATTTGTGTTCTTGTTCTTGTTTCCTATCATATGTTTCGTAAAACATTTTTTTTTCTTAAAGTTACTACGACTTTAAGGATTACATTCTCATCACATGTTTTTGTTTGCTGATGATTGCGAGATAAAGTGGATTTAAATGTATATTTTTGGTCTTGATGATTTAAATTGTGAAGTTATTTTTAATTATACTAACTCTTAGTAGAAATATTATTTGCAGAAGCAGATAAAATATTCTTAAAGTATTAGTATCAAGGTTTTTGTGTAGTGTAGACCGGAGCGTAATGGCTAACTTTTCACTCTTTGTTGATTTACACGGACATTTTTGTTTTAATTAAGTGTTTATCTCCTAGAAAAGTTACTCTAGTACCTCAGCTTTCTTTTAAAAAGTCGAACGTCCCTATATTACGCTTACTTTTTTTCTACAATGAACGTACACTTCGTCGGTATCGTAGGTATTGCTCTTTCCCGTGTAGAAATTTGTCGTGGCCTTCCTAGAAATAGACTACAGCTAGATAGCATTTGTCGTGGAAAATTATTCTGAATAAACTGTCCTGGCCCCGAAATGTTAATGTACAGTTTTCCCCTTTATTTTCATCGCTATGAAGACAGTCTAGAATCTGGCTAAAATTTGTCTAGGATACTGAATTGAAAATTCAGTACAAGTTCGTATAGCAGGTTATCCAAGAATTAGCTGGGCACTGTCTAGGACGCTGACTTAAGAATTTAGTACAAGTTCGTGGAGAAGGTGGCTCTGAGAGTCTACTAAGCTAGCAGACGAAATCAGTTCTTGACGTAGTGCTTGATGAAAAGAAACCAAGAGTCTACAATTGTAACTTATCTTGTTGTGAAGATAAAATCAAATTTATAAATCTAGTGAAAAGTTTTCAGTTTTCCATTTTTGAACAGGGACAGTGTACAAGTTTAAATATATTACAGCGAAAAAAAGATTTATTAGAAAAAGGACATGTGATGTCATCATTAATAGTCTAGATTGTTTTTCATATTATAATGTTCATAATAAGTAATAAAACTTTGTTAATTTTAAGTAAATTTTTTGTGATTGCAACAATATAATATACAATTAATTTTATTATCGGTATACAAGTACGAATCTTTATAGTGAATGTGTTTGTGTTTTAAAGAAAAAATCCAATGTAGCAAAATATGTTACAATTAATTTCAAAAATAATTGTAAGAGGAATTGTGATAATAACAAATACTTTTGTATTACTGTTTTGTTTGTTTAAAAGTTAAACAAACAAAAGAATAAATTTGAAAAATATTGTTCTATTATTTATAAACCTAACAAATATTCCCAGTATGTAGAAACTGCTTATTTTAATATCCAGGAACTGGCTAGGAATGATTTATTTTACTAGGCAAGGACTAGACAAAATAACTGTACAAAATCTTGACGTTGCTAGTGTTACATCCCTCGTTCAAGCCTGTCCATTTTTCCCATCTAGTTGCTAGATTGAATCTAGCGCAACTGGACAGTTTCTCATACACTTCCACGGTAAATTTCTACACGGGTTATACATAGCGTGTTGCATTAGCCAACACGCCCTAGGGGTACTTAGGAAATATTTTGTAATTTTTATCAATACAGTAAGTGTGAATCAAAAATCTAAAATTGACCCTCAAAAAATGTTTCAAGCTTAAAACGCGATTTTAGTTTCTTTTTTAAAGTTATTTTAAAAAAAATAGAATGAAAAAATGAAAATTTTGAAAAGTTACTTTCATATGTGAAATACAGATTTTCTACTATATTTCTTACAATAGTTATTGAATAATAAA